CCTTTCTCTCTCTTTCTCTCATCATTATTGTTTCACTTAGAGATATTGGCTTTGTGCTGCAGAATGTTTGTCTACAGTATATCAGCCGTGTCGTTATAAATGTGTTCAGTAAGAGCTTGTAGCTGCAAAATAAATTCATTAAAATGAAATGTTAAATTTACCAAAATATCCTAAAATCAAAACACACTAGGGTAGTGTACTGGCCAGGCTACAAACAAACAGGTCACAACGCTTTTCTTATACAAATTGTTTCACTCTGTTCTATATTAATGGGAATTTTCTTTAAACACAGGCTCGGGTAATGGCTACAATTGGAGTTACCAGGGGACTTGGTGATCATGATTTGAAAGTTCATGATTCAAATATTTACATTAAACCTTTTCTTTCTTCCGTGCCAGAGGTAAGTGCTGCAGATATTATGGTTTCTGTTTTAGATTCAATTTGTAAGGAAAAAACTGTTCTCTTCTGTTGTAGAACTCCTCACTATACTTACCACTGGTTCATATTATTCTTCCCTTCACTCTAGTGCACTGTATCAGCCAGTTTATCTGATCAGTCCTGAACACATATTCAATCTACAGTTCCTGATAGATAGATAGATAGATAGATAGATAGATAGATAGATAGATAGATAGATAGATAGATAGATAGATAGATAGATAGATAGATAGATAGAGATAGAGTGCCATTACTACTGAGTTTTTTCCTTCACTTGATTTAAATGATAAAACTAATTTTGTATATAGAGCAAGTTCCTCATTATGAGCTCAGTCCATTGACTTTATTGTTTTCTGGACCCCCTTATTGTGCTCGTTTCCAGGCTACCCCACTAAACATCCCTATTATGCCATATGGCTATAAACAGCAGTGCGTCCCTCCACACCCCAGAATGCCATTTTCTCTATTGATTTCAGCACTGTACATCATTAATAAACATGCCACAAACTTTCTACTAAAACATTTTCCCAGGGAGTTTAAAATGAACAACTTTGCTTTTTATTTATTTCATTTTATTTTCAAAAGGGTTACCTTTAATAAGATTTTTCCCTTTGCAAAATATTCTGCAGTCTTTGAGCACTAGAGAGATAATTAACTTGTGATTCAGCAATGAAATTTTGTTATGTCAGTTTATTTTATATCTTAACTGTTAACACTTGTATCCTAAGGCCCGGTTCACACCTGGGCGTTTTGTAGCGCCTTCCTACGCTCTGCAAAACGCTCAAACACCGAAATCCCATTATCTCCTATGGGTATGGTTCACACCTGGCATATTACAGGCCGTATGAACGCGCTACAAAACGCCCTACGCCCAAAGAAGTATAGGAGCTTCTTTGGGGCGTATTTGCTGCGCGTTTCCATTGGGATACAGCCAGGTAGCCCTCGGAAAACGCGCGTTTGTCGCATATTCGATACGCCTAGGTGTGAACCCAGCCTAAAGCAGATTCAGTCCAATTGATTAATGCATTGTGGATAATGGCATTTAAATAGTGCATGATAAAACTTTCCCCATTTTTAAAGTGAACTGTCATGTTCACGAAAATGTGTAAATTAATATTATTTGTAAAGTGCAGGCAACAAGTGCCTTTGCATGCCTTCAGATCAGTTCCTTTGTTCCCGTGGATGGTAGGCTAAATATGACCATACAAGGCTCAAATTTCAGCTGATTCCTGTCGACACCACCCAACTCTACAAAACTTTGGTTGAAAAAAAGCCACTTGACCGAACAGTGACTTCAACCACTCAGCTGCAGTCTTTGTTCATGTATTCTGACTGCTGCAGGTGCCAGCTATCAAAATACAATAACTAGTAGGGGAGATTGATCCATCCATGCTGTTAAGTATGGGCAGGCAGCTATATATAGGGCCTTGACTTCTCTTTAAGTTCAAAATTAAACCATCCCCCCACAAGCACTAATCTCTGCCCCTGTTGTTACAGAAGAAAGAAGGAATAGTTGGGTTTTGTAACAAAACAATCTATTTAAACTGAATAAACCGTACAGATGCTAATACACATTTGTAACAATCACTGCCCTGATGTACCAGCAGGTAATGTTTCCTTATGGCAAATATTTGCATTGGGGCCCTGTTGTAAACTGTAGCACAAGTCTGAAGAAGGCCAGAGATAGAACAAGGATTTTTTCCTGAAAGAAAGATGAAGGCTGCCATTTCTACTACTCTTTTTGACAGTGCTAGTTGTCTGACTGTCTTGTGTCAGTTTTTAGTCACTGACCTGTAACATGTATGAAGATCAGATCTTTTTCCACACTTGTTTCAGGTCAGTGACTCAGAAATCGGTGAATCCAGGGGGTCAAATAATAACCAGGCTACTAGCATATTCAGAAAAAGGGTAGGCCATGGGAGCACCTATGATTCTCATTTACAAAATGTTGGCTTTAAAACCGCATTCCACATGTACAGATTATTTCATAATAATGCAGAAGATTTCAAACTGAGGTTGGAGGCCTGTACAAAATCACGGTGGCTGTATTTACATGTTGTGTTTTTCATTAGTAACCTAGGAGTGTTTATCCTCTGTTACATCAATGGATGCTTCTTTCAAATGCTTAAGTGGGGTCAACTGTGATGTCATTTGTGGAGTCCATTTTTGCATCAAAATCATGTGACATCATTTATGCTTTATAATTGGCAATAATGTGGGTTTAAGTTGGCATCAGGCTGAATTTGAGAATATGCAGCTGAAAAGCCTGTTTATACATGAGCCCTTTGTTGCAACCTGGGGAACTGCACCTTACTATCAGATGACCAGGACTAGGTTTTTATATGTATCTTATGGGTGGAACTTCACTGGAAAATTAAACAGCCTTATCTTCTTTTAAGAAAATTTTTTTGGGGGAACAGAAATATTCCCGTCAGAGAAAATCACATGAGTTTCTCATTATTTACATGGAAGATGTAGGAAGTCAACATTCTCAGAGTATGCTTTAGTATGTTTTTGTTTGAAGTCAATACCGGTTGATCCCACCTGGAAAAATACTAAAGGCAGCATTCACTGCACAGATGGAACACAGAGTGCCGCATGGGAATTGAGAAGACAAAAGGTATTGAAAGGCAAGAGATCCTAAAAGGGAAAATAAAAGGAAGGGGATCTGTTTGCAATCAAATCGCATTGCTTAAGCTCCTATGTCTGTTTTTTAGTCAGCGTATCATTTATATCAGCATGAAATTTGGTCTTATTGTACTCGCGTTCCTTAATGTACAAACAAATTGCATGAACCACCTGGCTAAATTGCTAACCGGAATCAGCCGCCGGTTACACTGATTTGTAATTCTTCATTACCCATCCTAAAAGGAATTTTTCTCATTTGCTCTCATTTTGATCCTTTAAATGTACAGTTGAAAGCATTATAATCAGTTTGTTTGTTCTTTTTAAATCCTGCCAAAAGTCCAGTACGGTTCTGTGCACTCTGCAGGATTATCTTAAGCAGTATTTTCAGTCCTGTCCTGTTTTTTTTCTATGAGCTACAGAACCCCTCCATCTTATGTTGTAGAGGAGAGAGGAGGTTATTGTAATCCTGACAACACGGCTGCTTCATAGATACAGTACAGAGAGTGAGTGTTGTCCCCCTAGGAAGTGTATTTTGCAGGATAACCAGGTGAAAAACGAGGAACAGTAAGTCTAAAAAAGAAAACTAGCGCAGGCACCACATCTAAGGGTCAGGTAAGCTGCAGTTTCTTGCATTTGTGTCTTTAGATACACATTTAGCAAATAAAAGAGACAAACACCGAAAAAAATGTTAATGAAAAAATAGGTCATCATTTTCAAATAATCTCAGTGTATGGGGCAGAAAGCATTGCATCAAAAGATTGTTTTTCCTGATCCGTGAAGTTATGTAATTAATTCAAAAGCAAATACCAGAATCCCAAGAAATCTGCTTTTCAGGCAAGGCTTTAAGGCGAAATTGCTGTTGCTAGAAAAAAATCAGTGGTTATTTTATAAACATTCCCCTTTTACAGAGAAGGAAGAATGCAGAGAGGCGTATTAAAACATCCCAGCCATGTGGCCATGCCAAGTAAAGTGCATGTTTAGACGAGTTTGTGGACCACAGATGTATTGCTGAATTGAAAGGATTAACCAGCATGTCTGACCAGGCATATTATTTCCAAATTGTAATACTGAATATAATTTTCTCTTGGCTGCCTTCGCTTTTTTTTTTAAATTACCACTGTTCCTTAGGTTAATTAAAGTGCTTTGCAAGCAGTGTCTGATGCTTGTAAGGTTTAGAAGGGAATTCTAAAAGTGAGCAGGGACAGATGGAATGCCGACCGAGAGGAAACGAAGTAAATGTTCAACAAAAGGTCCGTTTACAAACTTGGAATGTTCTGCAGTATAGGCCAGAGTTTGTCTCTGGATTGTGTAAAGGCCACCAGTCAAAACTTTAAACCAATTTATTTAAGAGTAACTTGTTGGATACGGCCTCTTGTACTGTTTTTAAAAAAAATGTGCTGTGATACTACTGTAATGTTAAGAAATTAAGTGGGAACTCATGGGAAGATACAGTATATATAGATATAGCTATATATAGCTATATCTATATATATCTAATTTCTTATTTTATATTGTGCTTACAAAAAATAGATTTTTAGTAAATGCTACATAATGTGTGATTAGCTTATCTAATAAATTTATAGTTGGTATTTATATAGCGCCCACAACTTATGAAGTGCTTTACCTAGCACCTTGTTCTGAATAGAGCTTTCCAGCAATCCATTACTATTGTCTGGTACTGGTACCATCTGGTGTGACTGGTGAATGCAGAAGTATGTGTGGTGTGATGGTGTTTGACAACATTGTCGATTATTTTAAATTTCACTTTGGGATGTTATATGCATTTATGGTATTTTACATCATTTCCAATTGTATCAATAAAGGGAAGTAATTTGTATCCAGTGTTTCCGATGAGCCTTTCTTTCTTTGGTCTGTTTGTTAGATCTGGTTAGAAACACTGAAGGTTTTATATATTTCTATCTTTTCATTTCAGGCACCATAAGAAGCCTATAGTTACCTATAGATAGTTACCTTCCCCATCAGCCCAAGCCACTGGAAGAGAACCATCTAATTTCTTTTTCAGGTTCTGACTTTATAAAAATTGAAATCTGCTCAAGGCTTACCAGGCTCCTTTTCTCCCCCATGTGGCAGGACTTAGGCCTGGTGATTTTGCGTTCCTTGCCTGGAAGTACCAATTCTTTTTTGAGGCTACAGCAGGAGAGTGAACGGAAAATTGGCCAGTGCTTCTGGGTTTGGGGGAGCATAACAGCTTTGGTGTTTAGCATTTGGCCTAAGAAGTGTGGAGAAAGATTCCTCAGCCCTCTCAAACACCAGACTAACTATCTCTCGCTCCTGCCGGTCAAATGGAGTGACATTGCAATAATAAGGCAAGTGCAGCTGTTGGCTGGTATTTATCTGCCCTGTGTGGACCTAGCACCAACTTGTACGAGAAACTCCATAGAAATATTAGTGACTGATATCTGTACAGATATACACTGAGTGGCCAGATTATTATGACCACCCCATCAGTACTTCGTTGGTCCACCTTTTGCCTTCAATACTGTGGCGATTCTTCTTGGCATTTACTCCAAGAGATGTTGAAAGGTGATGCAAGGAATCTGACACCATGCTTGATGAATAGCACTGTCCAGTTCTGTGAGATTTGATGGTTGTGGAACCAGCTGCCTGATGGCTCTTTCAACTTTGTCCCACAAATGCTCAATTGGATTGAGATCTGGTGATTGTGGGGGCCACCTTAGCAAGGTTAAGTCTCCCTCATGTTCTTGAAACCACTCCTGCACAATACGAGCATCGTGGCATGGCGCATTGTCTTGTTGGAAGAAGCCATCTCCACTGGGTTACGCCATCAACATGTTAGGATGAACTTGATCAGCAACCATATTTTGGTATGTTGTGCTATTCAGACGCTGTTCCACGCAAATGAAAGGGCCTAAATCATGCCAGGAAAACATTCCCCAAACCATAACACTGCCACCATCAGCTTGAAGTGTTGTACTCATGTGAGGTGCATGCTTTCATGCTGTTTCCACAAAATTCTCACTCTGCCATCTGCATGATGCAACTGGAAATGTGATTCATCGGACCACATTACTTTTTTCCAATGCTTGACTGTCCAATCCTTGTGTTGCTGTGCGAATTGGAGACGTTTTATCTTGTTAACTGCAGACAGCAAAGGTGTTCGAACAGGCCTTCGGCTTCCATAGCCCATACGATGCAGTGTACGGCGAACAGTGCGTTCAGAGATCATTTGAGAGGATCACTGATTAAGATCTGCAGTCATTTGATGCACTGTTGCCCTTCTGTTGTCTTGTACCAGTCTTGCCACTCTCCGTTCTGCCCTAACATTGACTAGTCGCTGCCGGCCACAATTTGCACGTTCAGACCCAGATTTTCGGCTGACAGTCCAGCCTTTAAACACTTTAACAACAGCTGCTCTTAAACATTTAACATTCTGCTGTTTTGCTGATACTCGCTCCATGGCTTGAGCGCCAACAATCATCCACCGTTCAAAGGCTGTTAAATCGCGTTGTTTACCCATATCTTCAGAAAAAAATCACTTTTACTGTCGTGGTAAACAACCTGCTTCCCTATTTATAATGGTCTGGCCCTCTAGCAACTTCAGCGCGAAATTATAGCTAATTTGCCTACAAACATCAGGTGGTCATAATAATCTGGCCACTCAGTGTAGTGCCCATAGACATCAGATGAGTGTCTCCCACCCATTCCATTAACCATTGCATCGGAGTATGATTAGATAACCTTATGTGTAGGCCATTTTTCCTGCACAGGTAAGCTGGGGCTGTCTTACTGCAACTCCATCCTCTTTCCTGTCCAGGCAATGACTCTGTGACATGATTGTCTACTTGTTGGGAAAAAAAACCTTTCGAAACTAAATTTTGCTGCATTGCACGGCATTAATTCACTATGCTTCTGGCAAGATTCCTGGGAAACAATAAGTACCCCCAAATCTCATGAGAAGACACTTCAGTCCAGCGCAAAAGCATCTTCTTGTGAGATCCTCGTTGTTCCCAGGATCTTGCTGGAGGAAGATTGACGTCAAATTGTTACTGCGAAGATTGAGTACAAGAAAAAAGGTATTGTTTATTATTGCAAACGTGCTTGATTGCCTTAATATGTAAGACCAAGCCAAGTTACATAGTAGGTAAGGTTAAATAAAGACATCCATTTATCCCTCCATCAGGTTCAGCCTATATTGTGTGTGTTTGTATACAATACTAGCAAATCCCATAACCCTGTATGTTTCTTAAACTGAGGAATCCATCCAAGTGTTTTTAAGCTGTGTATGCTTTCTGGTGGTACAGCTGTCTGCGGACGTGAATTCCACATTTTTACTGCCCTCGCATCCTCTGTATCCTGCACCTCCATATCACCACCCTCCTCTATAGCGGCCCCAAGCAGCACCTGATGTGTACGGTTTAAACTCCTCTCCATGTTGTTAATACTTAGTGTCGCCAGTTGATTTTTTAGATCCAGGACCTGGGCTTCCAAAAAAAACAACTAGCTTACATCTCACACAGCAGTATTTGCCCTTGAGCGGTGCTAAAGCAGCGCATACGTTGAGCAAGACATGCACCTGGTAGCATTACTAATCAGGGTTGTAATGACTATTATTTCCTAATGCTCAAGATTTATTTGATATTTATTTTGTCGCTACTCTTTATATAGTAACTTACACTTATCCAGTAGCCCAATAGTTAAGTTTAGTATTACAATGCCTCCTAACAGATTAATACACTAGCACAGTGGCCCCAATTGATGTACACACAATGGCCCCAATTGAAGTGCCCCTGCAAATCTATATAGTTCACAGTGCCCACAGCAAATCATTACAGTTCACCGCACCCCCTGCAGATCAATATAGTTCACAGTGCCTGCAGGGGGCCAATACAGTTTACAGCGCCCCCAGCTGATCAAGACAGTTCAAAGTGCCTGTAGCAGATCAATACAGTACACAGTGCCCCCAGTGAACAAATGCTTCCCTAAATCAATACAGATCACAGTTTACAGTGCCCCCAGCACACCCTCTCTCAGTATACACGGCACCACAGTACACACACACACCACTGTGATCCCCTAGCAGTAGCAGCTCACCCACAGCTCTCTCTCTCTCATGCGCTCTCTCTCTCTCACGTCTGCTCTCCGTTCACTGGCTCCCTGTCGTGTTTTACGTGAAATGTAATGCGTATCCAATAACTCACAAAGTTAAAACAGTCTTCTGTAGATGATTAAACTGTTGTCAATTACAACCCCACTTTTATAATTAGTTCAGGGCTTTTCCAAAAGAGATAGATTGGTAAACTTGTAAAGGGCCAATGAAGCATTAAGACCGCATTAACTCCTTTTGTGCGTTAAAGCATATGTGTTGCATTAAGGCATGACATGTGCATTCTGGTGCACTATAGCGAAAGTGTGTTTGCTTTTACTGTGTTTAAATATATGACGCCCAGCATAATTCAACCAGTTCCCTTTGAGCCCTGGGCATCAAAGACACGCCACCTGTTTTAGAGGGGGGGGGGGGGTCAGGGGGGAACTACAGTCATTGCATAGTGCTGCTCTCTGTAGCATTCAGGATCCACCTAAGGGAGGGATGAGGATGAGGACTGAATACACCTGGAAAAGGTATGTATAATTATAAAGTTTTGCTTTTTCTTTTAAATGTTCTGTGTGTGTGTGTGTGCGCTCCATGCGGTGCGAGAAGTAGGAAAGAAGGGGCTGTGGTGGACTTTGAAGGAATTGAACATCTTTTAACCAAGTATACCACTCCAAAACCTCTAGACTATTTTCCTATCCTCCATTTAAACTTTATTTATTTTGGGTATGCCAACAGTATAGCAATCACACCAATATACTTCCAATTAGTTACTATAGGCTTTTCTGAAGCTGGATGAGGGACAAGAGATCCATACTGCAAAAATTGTCAAGGTTTGTTAAAGTACAAAAGATGCACTTCTGTATTGCGAGATTATTTTCACCAGGGACACAAAGCTTTACTTCTGCCTAGGTTCTTAAGTTTTTCATGACAAAAGGACATTTTCTAAAGGCTTCTTGGTGGAAGAATAAGTACATTCAGGACATGCATTTAGTTTGGCTCCCACCATTAATTATGTCCTTGTTTTAATACAGGTGCGAGTTTATGATCTTCAGCAGTATGAGCACAGTGCAGATGATGTGCTAGTTTTGGCAACGGATGGCCTCTGGGATGTCTTGTTAAATGAAGAAGTGTCTGAAGCTGTTACAAATTTCCTAGCATGCTGTGACCCAGATGACCCTCACAGGTTTGTCATTATAATCTAACATTTTGGCACTAACAATACATACAACATATGTTTATTTATGGAGCACTGTGGATACATAACACATAGCCGTCATAAAGTGTAAGCCACGATGTTATGGCCAAAAAAAATCCTTGTAGATCTACGCCTCCCAACCTCTCCTTTTTCTTATACAGAAATGTACCCAGATGCTTCAACACCAGCTGAGAAGCCATCTTCCTAAGATCATAAACAGTGTAGTGCACTTCCTGATCACTACTTTTTGCAGTACTAAATTATAGGTGGCCATAGAGACTCTACTGGCAAACTACTAAATCCTTGGTTCTCAACTGAAGGGTCGTGACCCAAAAGTGGGCCGCAATCCCGTTTTCAGTGGGTAGCCGCATGCCTTCCCCTTTTCTAGGTGAGAAGCTTTTTAGGCTCCCCCTAGCGCAGCACTGTCAGTTTTCACACTGAGCAGCCATTCAGCATATGCTGTCTGGCACTGAGGCACAAGAGTGTCAGCTTAAGGTGTGGTGGGCTGGAGATATGGCCGCGAGGGAGCTTCATTCAATATGTGCATTGCTTACAGCTCCCTCGCATGTCCTGTAGAGGTGCCTGGACTGGAGTGACGTCACGATCGGGATCCCAGTACCTTTACAGGGCGCGCAAGGGAGCTGTGCAAGCAATGCACATATGCAACTTCTGGGTTATAGTTGTAGCTGATTTTAAAGAGTTGTCAAAGGTAGCACCTCTATTGCACCCTAGTCATCCACCATAGTACCTAGAGGCAAGGATACCTTGTGTATACTCACTAGTCCAGCTCTTTAACTTACAAGTCTCATTCTAGAAGTTCTGTACAGACAAATACAGACAAAGCTTACCCTATGTTGTTCTTGCACAATTGGTGGCTGACTAAATACTTTTTTGCCCCACTATATATATATATAACCAAGAAGACAGTTACTGGAAGTAATTTGTGATTTCATATTTTTCTTCTAATATTTATGTAAACCATATAAATCTCAAGAAGCTACCTAAATCCCCTAGATGGCTTCCCTATTTCAGCACACACACAAAACAAAGATCATATCATTCCGTATGCTACCACCTGTAAGCACTGCCCTGTATTTGTATAAAGAATTGGAATCTATGAAAGACTTTCTATTTTTGTGAAATTAAAGCATAATGGAAACTTGATTCTTCATTGCACGTAGTAGCAGCATGTTCAGACTCCCCGCTTATAATAGCAAATAAACATTTGTGTTGTGCTGTTTTCTTTGAATGTTTATTGACAAAGTGTCCCATCATTCACATTCATTTGCAGAATATAAGAACGCATACAAATAGTCTTCTCTTTAGTCATAAATGTTGCTGCTGTTTAGACTTCTAAGTGCTATTATAATCAATACAAGGCAAGGCAAAAAAAAAAGCATGTTGTCTGCAGAGTTGGTTTTATGTGCTATAACGGTGTTCCTATGTTTGGACAGATACACAATGGCAGCTCAGGACCTGATAATGCGAGCAAGAGGTGTGCTGAAGGACAGGGGCTGGAGAATATCCAATGACCGGCTTGGATCGGGAGATGACATCTCTGTGTACGTCATACCATTAATACATGGCAACAAACAGTCTTGAGGGTAACCTGGAGGCAGGCAGCTTTTATAAGTTATGTACTGTTAACCTGTTGTGAATGGGAACATGATTGGAAATTTCACTACTGATAAAATGGTATTGCCCAGTCTCCCAAAACTTGTGTTTGGGGCCTCGGATGGAGCATACTCAAATGCTGCTAATGATGTATGATTTCTCCTATTGTACACTAAAACCCTAACCTGACGGACTTATTTAGTACGACGATGCAAAAAGTAATGTTGCACAAAAAGCAGTAACTGAAAGCTAACAGCCAGAATTTAGTTCACTGAAGTTACAGAAGTGGCTGATGAATTCTGATTGGTTGGTTGGTTACCTAACTTTGCACAGTACTCTTTGTCCAATTGAATAGCCCTGTTGTTTTTGCTGAAATGCAATTCATTTCCAATACGTTACTGTTATATACAAGGAAGCACATGTACATGTTAGTCTGGGTTGATTAGGCAAATTAGCTTGTGCCTCCAGGCAATGTATGTTTAATTTTTATGCAGAAATCCATGCATCTCTTTCTATGACACAAGTAATTGTAACTGTAAAGTCTGTGACATATTGACATAATGCATAAATGTGTGTATTACATTGGACTGGTAACTTGTAAAGGAAGTGTTATACTGCAAGATCATCAACTATCCCTTACAATACTGGCAGTTAAAAATGAAAGTATATCTAAAACTATTTTTTTTTTGTTAGTTTTAGAGAAAGGAAGTGTTATTACCTATGTTAATTTTTTAATGTTTTACATGTGTCCTCTTGAGGAGACTCTTCTCTTCTTCCCATCCTGTAGGGAGAAGGAAGGGAGAGGAAATCCACAAAGTGAAGGCAATTCTCTTTTAAATGGTTGTCTCCGTAGGAAGATTTACCCTCTGTTCTGTTTCTGTAATGACTCAAACATTCGTGGTCACCAAGACAAATAGAGGGGTCATTTCCCCCAGCGTGGACACAGACAGCAATAAAAACTGTCAGATTTGATAACTATTCAACTTTTACCAAAACTAAAAAAAAAAAAAGGTTTCACTTTAGATAGACTTTAACAGAGTAGAATGCACTATTGTTACCTGCCTTTCATTTTGTGGTGGTGAGTTACTGCAGAACATTGCTTCTTTTATCGATATGTATTGAGCTTTATGGTACATGCATATTCTTAATTTCACCTGTCTTCCAATTCTTGGCCACTTCAAAAATAGTAGAGAAAAACTCCTACAGTGACCATTTTCTCTGTATGCAGCAATGGATGGCCTGTAAATGGCGGGTGAAGATGCTTATAGAGAAGAAAGATGTCTGCCTGTGAGCCATAAAATAGTCTTAACTAGTTCATAGTTGCATCGAAATTGGCACAACATTTTTTGGGGGGTTTTAAAAAGATCCAATACATGGATGAATTTGTATCAAAATTTATTGTACATAAATAAATAAGATAAAAACATATTCAATTAATGAAAGTATGCAGTACCACCAAGACAGCTTAAAAAGGCATATGTCCAGATAGCCATAACATCAACACATTATATCTTGTTATACAGCCAATGTTCCAAACATATTGATTGATAAACATCCAATATATGTACAACTGACATGTCCAGTCCCATACGTACAACTGACATGTCCAGTCCTGATGAGTTTCGCAGGGAGCTTCTTCAGGGGACCAACAAAGGCTAATCTAGCAATGGAAAATCTTCATATAATTATTCTCTTTTTGAAACGTATAACATTACGGCACATCCATCATCAAACTGTACAGAGAATTAGAAAAAACATTGGTCAATTCCCCAAGCAGATAAAGAGCCCCAACCAAAATAGGCGCCTGGTACTTACCACACACAGGAGGTGTCTGGAATAGGACCAATGCTTCTGGACCGGGAGGGGGAAGGGGGGCTATAATAAGCCAACCCACCGCATTCCGTCCATTGTCATGCCCGGGGCTTCAAGGAGAGGAGCGCTAAGGATAGTGCAGATGACCCAGCCAACCTCTGTTGGGACAGATTGGTGTGCTTGGGGAATATTCTAACCTACTTGTAAAGCTGTCCTTATTGATAGGCCAATTTGATACAAATTCATCCATGTATTGGTCTCTTACCTCTCTTTAAAAACCCCAAAAAAAATTTGCGCCAATTTTGTATGGTACTTTATTGGGTTGAGAGGTGTTTATGGGGGAGCCACTGTCGAGGCTATTCAGAAGTTTTTTTCCATCATAGTTACATAAAGTCTCTTTAAGCATTAAATCAAATGTGTTTCAAATGTTTGCGCCTTTAAACTTGAACTCCAGATAGAGCTTTAGGGCTTTTTTTGGGGGGGGGAGCAATTCCTATAGTCTGCTGCCTTGTTTTATTTTGACAGGGAACCTCTGCCTCTCGCTGTCTTGACCTTCAGCCCACTGATCTTAAAACTGCAAAACCAGCATACAATGCTCTTTCAAAAGAAATCAAATTTATTCCACATGCATCTGTACAAAAAAACAACTGCTGATGCATTTCTGCCTGACTTGGCCAAGTAAGGCAGAAACGTGACAGTTGTTTTTACACACGTATCTGGAATAAAATGTGATTTCTTTTTGGAAGAGTATCATGTGTTTTGCAGTTTTTAAGATAAATACTCTTAAAAGCGGGTTACCCGTGCCGTGAATGTGGGTTACAAGGGTGCAGGACAGGGGAGAGCTGTGCATTTTGTGTTTTTAGTCTTAAGCCCACTGAGCCTGTGAATTTGACAGCAGTGTCGTATTTTGCTCATTCACATAGTATGCTACCATAAAGGCGAGGAAGGGTAAGGTGGGCAGGTATCAGCAACATCACTCTTCTGTTGCCTTGCTCAGTGCTGCTAGAATCATATAGATGCCTGGATCCTAACAGGATTGAACAAGGCAGCAGAATATGGGTGTGACCGTCTGCTCACCATCCTCTACCTCTCTCTCTTCCTGCCATAGAGGAAGAGGGGGGGTAAACAGGGAGCAGAAACACCACTGTTCTGCTGCTTTATTTACTGCTGCTAGGATTATGTAGTTGCCTGGTTCCTAACAGAATTGATCAGGGCAATAGCATAGTGATGTCATACCTGGCCTCTATTATTTCTACATCGTGTCTGTTAACTTAATATAATTTTATTACAATAAAAACTCAAACAAAGACAACAATCTCAACACGTTGGGCTAAAGATCTGGCAAAAGAATCACTAGCACGGTGGGCTAAATATCTGGCAACAGGTAAAGACCAAATTCTTTGTGCTTCCGGGTTTAGAGATAGAGCAATAGATATACAATTTTTCTTGCCTGGAGTTCAGCTTTAAAAACGTTAGATTTCCAATGAAGGTTATCACTCACAAATTTCTACTTTGGTGGCTAACATAGTACAACCCACTGCTAACTAGTCTTGAACCAAATACAAAATGTAAAAAGATAACCTGTGAAAAGCTAATAACATCCAAGCTTTTTTGAATATCCTTAAATAGTAGCTAGAAAGGCTACATATTCTGAAACTTTAATACAGTGATATGCAAGTTGTCTCTCTATTACAGTCATTTCTGGAAAGCGTACCGGCAAAAACAGTGCACGATTGGCATTCCTCAAAATGTGCCACACTTTCTACCTTTCCTAAATCTGTTTACCATGAGTGCTTCAGTCTGTGATGTGTCTAGAAGTTAGTCATTCTAAGATTCAGCCGTTAAACTTCCCATAATGGGCGGTGCTTTGTAGCTCTGTAAATTTGTTCCCAGCACTTTTAGCTTTCAGCGCAGTAAGGAATACTCTACCCAGAGTCCCCCTTCACACTAACTCTCCCTCAAAGTACATCTTCCCAAACTATGAATATTAAAGAAATGGTATCATCTTAACAAGCAGTAAGAGAGCTTTACAGATAATCGCTAACCTCAGTAGCTTCAGGCATTGTGGAGTAATTCATCCTCAAAGACAACAGTAGAGTCTCGGAAATTGGGGTTCAGTCAGTTTCTTACAACTTGCAGCAGCTGCTGCTGATTACATAGGAAGTATGGTAGGCTGCCAAGTTTCTGCTGCCAGAAAAAAATAAGAGAAGAAGAGCTGATATTTCAGTGCCTCTGTTGTGAATTGAAGATACATTTCTTCTCGGTGCCTGCAGCTACAGAGGTCAGTAATGGCATGTTTTAAAACTCACTACTTGTTTGTAATCTTGGCACAGGTACTCTTTAACTAAATGCTACCCTTTATCTGCACACTCACCTTTATTGGAGCAGGATTCCATGCAAGTACAACTACGCTTTTATACTCTTGCTTTATTATAGCTGGCTACGTGTCTGTGTGGTTAGAAATGCCCTGTGTGACGTGTGTTTCAGCAGCTGGATAACGTGTAGTGAAGCTGGCAGTTTTGTATCCATGTGAAATGTTTGCCAAAGAACAATCGGCCTGTGCCTGAACAACAGATTTGCTGAAATTGCTATGAAATAGTGATTGCCCTGTCTGCAGTTCATTATTTTCCCAGAAACAAAAGCTCTTCATTAAAGAGAGCTATGTGGATACCACAAATCACTGCTGCTAATTTTACTTATGTGACATGGCCTGTTGGCAGAGACATAATGCCAATCTAGCAGTATTTGTATCTAAGGAAGACCAGTTCTAAAATGTTTCTTAAATGATAACTTACACATTTTGTCTTTGCTTGTTTGCAACATGCGTCAGCCAAGCAGTCATCAGCTAAACAACTCTATGCTGTTCCCTTCTAACCACAGCTTTATGTTGTGTGTGAGATATCTTTATATTACTTTGTATTTATGCATCAGGACATTGGCTCGGCTGTATATTCCTCTCTGTCAGCCTATGGCATAGCAGGAAAGCCAATTTAATGTATCGGTGCATAGAGAGAATATCAAAGTCACAGCCTTTCAAAGGACACAAGAAATGTGTCAGCGCACTCACTGATTTCCAGCACTCCCAATGAGGTCAAGTCTAGCTGCAGTGCAGACAGGATAGATAATCACATTAGATTTATTTTGCACTCAACATATCTTTAGCTACAGTTAAATTAAATTCTTATGACGGAGTAGAGTAAGCAGTATTTTATCAGTACTTATAATGTAATGTTGGGTCATCTTTTTCCTTAGATTTGACCATGAACCTCTGTGTAACATGATAAAGGGAAGCAATAAGTACATATTGAATGAAAAGTGTTAATAGAGGCAACTCTAACTGTTTCAGAATGTTTTATTCCTAACATTAGGTCTAGACTTTCTTCTATCCAGTGAACTGGGACCATTCAGATAGTTAAAGGTGAAGAAATCTAGCTTAAATACAAAAGGCACAAAAATACGTTGCTACTGAGAGG